TTTTGGATTTTTTTGTATACACAGCGTTTTGCCATGTTGGCAAGGCTGGTCTCAAACTCCTGAACTCAGGTGATCCACCCACCCTGGCCTCTCAAAGTTCTGGGATTACAGGCATGAGCCATTGTGCCCAGCCAAAAGTGAGATTTAAAGCCAAGACTTGGGGAATGAGGATCAGTAGTCTGAAGGTGAAGAGAGAGCTTTTCAGAGAGAGGAAATAGCATATGTGAAATTTCTCACATGGGAACGGAGAAAAAGACTAGTATAGTTGGAATGTAGTGGGCAAGGTAGAGAATGGTATAAAATGTAATTGTTGAGGGCAGAGACCAGATTATGGCCTGGTAACCTGAGCTAAAAGGGTTCATTTGCCACGATGGGTATTTTTGTGTTGTTTTTTGTTGTTTTTTTTGTTTTTTCCTTTTTTTGAGACAGTCTTGAGCTGTCGCCTAGGCTCAAATGCAGTGCCACGATCTCAGTTCACTGCAACCTCTGACACCCAGGTTCAAGCAGTTCTCCCACCTCAGCGTCCCAGGTAGCTGGTATTACAGGCACATACCACAATGCCCCACTAATATTTTTTTTGAGAAGAAGTCTCACTCTGTCCCCCAGGCTGGAGTGAAGTGGTGTGATATCGGCTCACTGCAACCTCTGCCTCCCTGGTTCAAGCAATTATCTTGCCTCAGCCTCCCAAGTAGCTGGGACTACAGATGTTTTCCACCACACTCAGCTAATTTTTCTATTTTAATAGAGATGGGGTTTTCACTGTGTTGGCCAGGCTGGTCTCGCACTCCTGACCTCTGGTGATCCACCCACCTCGGCCTCCCAAAGTGCTGGGATTACAGGAGTGGCCCACCACTAAGGGTTTTAAAGGGGGAGAAAGATCCTGAGACTTGGCAGAATTTTTTGAAAAGGAGCAGGGTACAGTGGCTCACAGCGGTAACCCTAGCACGTTGAGAGGCCAAGGTGGGCAATTGCTTGAGCTAAGGAGTTAGAAACCACCCTGGGCAACAAAGTGAGTCCCCCTTTCTACAAAAAATACAAAAATTAGCCAGGTGTGGTGGCATTGTCATATGCCTGTAGTCCCAGATACTCGGGAGGCTGAGGTGGGAGGATCACTTGAGCATGGGAGGTGGAGGCTGTAGTAAGCTGAGATTGGACCACTGCGCTTCAGTCTGGGTGACAGAGACCCTAAAAAAAAAAAAAAAAGTACAAGAGAAAAAGAGAGAAAGAAAAGGAGGAGGGATGGGCATGGGGGCTCACGCCTGTAATCCCAGCACTTTGGGAGGCCAAAGCGGGTGGATCACCTGAGGTCAAGAGATCCACCCACTTTTGACCAGCCTGGCCAACACAGTGAAAACTTCCTCTCTCCTAAAAACACAAAAATTAGCTGGGCATGGTGGCAGACGCCTTGTAATCGCAGCTACTTGGGAGGCTGAGGCAGGAGAATCACTTGAACCTGGGAGGCAGAGGTTACAGTGAGCCAAGACTGTGCCATTGCACTCCAGCCTCAGCAACAAGAGTGAAACTCCGTCTAAAGAAAAAAAAAGGAAGAAAAGAAGAAAGAGGAATGGTTTGATAGGATTTTTAAAAGGCATTCTGGGGATGAGCATGGTAGATCATGCCTTAATCCCAGCACTTTTGGAGGCTGAGGTGAGAGGATCACTTGAGCCCAGGAGTTCAAGACCAACCTGGCCAATATAGTGAGACCCCATATGTATAAAAAAAGAAAAATAAATTTAAAAAGAATAAAATGTCATTTTGGTTGCCATGTGGAATTTAGATTTGAGGGTGACAGGCATGAAAGGGACTATTTTAGAGACTTGTACATTATTTTAGGCAAGAATGAGATGGAGGCGCCACCATGCCCAGCTAATTTTTTGTATTTTTAGTAGAGACAGGGTTTCACCGTGTTGACCAGGATGGTCTCGATCTCTTGACCTCGTGATCCACCCGCCTCGGCCTCCCAAAGTGCTGGGATTACAGGCTTGAGCCACCGGGCCCA